GAGCCAAAGCTACACTGGAGTGACTAATAAAATAAGAAAATTAATGTCCTTGAGTGGCCCAGTGAAAGATATTGCTTGTTTCTACAAAATATTGAGTTTACTGGTCTGAATGTTTCTGTAATAAATATTCTAAGCTTTTGATTTCGCTTTGCAGGTTTTGCTGACATTTTACTGTGTGATTTTACATGAAATAGCTTCTTTATTCCATGTTTTCCTGGAATGTGGTTTCTCACTCACCGATATGTGTAGACACCCATGTCCATATTGCTCTGACCTTCTGCAAATCTGTTGTCGCAAAACGTTTCAAAGAGAGCACCACATCTTTAACAGAAGTCCCCTCAGTCTGTGGCAGAAAGAAGAATGTCACTTCTGCTACTGTGCAGGCGCTACAAAGACGTGTCCTACTCAGACAGAGAGCTGTTGCTGTGTGTGTTGGCTGTACATGTTTATTATAATGAAGTATTTTTAAACAAAGCCAGCTTACAATAGCAGAGAAAATCCCCACCTAGTAACTCTGGAATTTGGAGATACAAAGTCCATAATAATCTTTCAAAATCTGCTGTATTTTCCTATTTGATGATTTTGTTTTGAATTTTTCACATTTTTCACATTGCTCGAAACATCTGTAAATGTTGAATTATTTACAGATGTTTCGAGCGATTTGAATTAATTGCATCTGATGTTCACACAGATCCACATTTTCACAGGGAGGAGAGAAGCTTGGACTTACTGACGAGGCCTGGGAATCCAGAAATTTGAAGTCCTGAGGTTTGTAGGGTAGGGATTTATCAGTCAAAACAGTATCTGAAAGAGTAAAATAAAAGCACATGCCATTTATGAATCCTTGCTTTAATTGTTCAAATCTCATCAGAACTTTCATCACCCATCAGAGATTAGAATTGCAGCCTCACAGACATGCTCTTGGGTCTGTCTGAGTGGAGCTTGGATGTTCATTCTGCATGTTTCTGTGTTCCTCTACTATCCAGAACCATGCAGGTTAGGTCTGATTGGCTATATGAAACTTTCTCTTTCAGCAGGCTGAGCAGTTACAAAAGGAAGTTTGAAGTACAACAAGCACCGACTGTGGATCTACAGAGCAATAGAACCTGAAGTGCCTCCTTTCATCTGTGGCGTTTCAGCTGTTCAGTAGTATGTTACATTGCAGGGGTCACCTTTTCTGCACCTTACATTTGGCATGGAGACACCCTGGTGCTGGATTGTCTAAAAAAAATATTTCCTCCTTTCAGTCAGGTGCACCAAGCCAAGGTCCAGTTATCTAACCACCCACGGATATTGGGCGTTGGTTTCTCTTTTCTCAATCGGGCTTGCCACATTTGGCAGGGAGACACCCTGGCGCTGGAGTGTCTAAAAAAATTA